CCTAAAATGTCAGCCGTGGTAGATTTCAAGATCATCTGCGCGGTCTTGTGTAAATAGCGTATTCGACGCTCCAGAGCAAATCTCACACAGATTATCGCTAATGTTGAGATGAGATCCATCATTTAGTTCCACTATCAGTCCAGGCCATCATTTGGTTAGGAATTTAAGAACTCAAGCCAGAGACTGTTAATGGAACGAAAGAGATCCTTGATCAATCTCGACAGAGAGAGAGAGAGAGGACATAACGTTTTTTTTTTACCATTCGGGTTTAGATTTTGCGAAAGAAATCCATTATCGTTATCCAATGCATCACCAACACATCATAGATTCCTGCACTTTGTAAAAGGAAAACTGGATCAGGAGGTTACAACAGGAAGAAGGATCATCGTTTCAATTTAGAGCTAAAGATCTCAATTAGTAAAAATTCAACGCACTTCAAAAAGCGTTTGACACATGAGAGATCAGTTACAGATATGACAATCCAAAGAGCAGTGAAAAAAGACTTGAAAATGAAATCGTACATGAAACCTGTGGGGCGTTTTGTTATTTCAGAACAGAAAGTTAGAAGTCTAGAGTGGGCAAAGATCATTTTAAGTTGGAATATTGATCTTAATATATATATATATATATATATATATATATATATATATATATATATATATGTCTACAAATCAACAATTAGGCCTTGCATGGAGTATTGCTGCCATATATGGTCTGGACCCCCTTCTGTTTGCCTCGGGGTTCTTGATAAGCTCCAGAGGCGGATATGCAATATATTGGCCCTGTTCTAGCATCTCATCTACAGTCGCTCTCTCGCAGACGGGCTGTCGCCTCTCTCTGTCTTTTTTACAAATACTTTCATGGTAATTGCTCCGAGGAGCTGCATTCGCTGGTTCCCAGACTTCATGAATTCAAGCGCCCTACGAGGCTGGCGTCCCGCTCTCACCCTTTCACTGTTGAAAATGGTAAATGTAGTCGCGTCTTCTACTCCAATAGCTTCATATCTCACACCTCTCGCCTGTGGAACTCCCTTCCTTATTCCAGTTTTCTTGAGAGCTATAATCTCCAACTATTCGAATGTAATGTCAATCGACATCTCCAGTTGCCTTGATCTATCCACTATTCTTCTCCTCATCTTTTCCTCTATCGATCCTATCTGATCTTGCTCCAAATCTTCTGTAACACTTGCGTCCTAGTGGCTTCCCGCCTTGCTTTGGGTGAAACGCTAAATATATATATATATATATAATATGAAGAAATATGTTCTATATTTATGGGATAAAGTGCTCAATATCAGAGATAGAGCGTGTGTAAATATAAAAGTGAACATAAAAGTCAACACTTAGAGGCGACAGTCTGTTTCATGCTAGTGGCCTGACGATTGCATCTAGCATGAAACAGATAGTCGCCTCTAAGTGTTGACTTCTATGTTCACTTTATATATATATATATATATATATATATATATATATATATATTTTGAACTCTTTTTCAATACTTTTATGATCCTTAACAATTCATGATGAACATGTCATTTTTGTTTATGATCGATTTAATCAAAACTCTGTTAAATTTCTTTTTTAATTAGAGTAGCATTTTTATATCAAAATTATGGTCTGTCTCTTTAAGGTAATTAATGCGGTTAATGCGTTGTCTTTTAATGCGCCTCTTTTGAGCTAATATAATCTTTTATGTAGAATTCGTGTAGTTTATCCAATATATTCTTACTGGCAATCTTGAGGTGATAAAGAAAGGGGCGAAATGGTATCACTTGAAAATATTTTCCACTTTGTCATACATCTTCCTACCAAAATTGTTCATGATATATAAAGATAAGTTTTAACATATTTTATTGTTATAATTTATTTATATAGAAAAAGATATTTAAGTAAATGTTTTGTTTATAGTAAACAGTATTAACAACATTTATCGGCCTGAATATCCGAGAAATTTTCATCGAAAATATCTGTCCTTCTACAGGAATCGAAATTGTTTCCTAAACTTTTACTGCTTTTTTTTAGTCCATCTCGCAGTATGTGACCTCAGGTATTTTATGTTTAGATACGCTTCGAGAAGATATGGACGTTCGAGAAAAATCATGGCAGATTTTAGTTTAAAAGCAGTAAAATCGAACTTTCTATCCAGGCGCTCCTCTGTAGCTAAACTGATATAGCACGTCAGGCTACATGACGATTACGTGTAGGATGAATGTGTGTAAATCTCTCTTTTTGAGTAGGTACACATCTACTTATCATCTCTCAGTTGCGTCTCTGTCCTTGGACAGAGTGCGCTCAGGGGCTTCTCTGTCAAAGGACGGAGGGGCAACTGAGAAAATTAAACTGAAGAGGTGCCCAGCCCTGGGTAACAGTTTCCCGAGGCCACACCCTCCCATTGCCCAAGTTGCGGGGGCTGATGGGAATTTTTTGTCACATCTCGTTCTGATAGGAGAACGAGTAAACACCGTGTAGGATACAGGTTCGATTCCTGTCGGAGAATGTATAGTTTCTCTGAAAGTTTCTGGGACGTTCAGGCCGGTAAATGTTGTTAATACTGCTTAAACAGCGAATTTAATTAAATATGTGTGTATATATAAATAAAGTATAACAATAAAATATTTAAAACAGCTGAAGGACTTTCTCCATTTC